TTGCCCCCGCTGCTGACTCGCGGGGCTGGCGGCTTTCAGCACGGCGCAGGAGGACGGGGCAGAGCAGAGAACGGCAGCAGAGGGGAGCAGAGCCGGTGCCCATGTGCCTGTGGTCCCAGCGGGGAGATGAAGCAGCGATGACGACGACAGCCGGCAAGGGGACCCTCCGGCCCTGGAAGCCCGACCCGGGGCAGGCAGAGGAGGGCCGGCCCCCCCTGGGACCGTCGCTGCCCCTGACCCTCACTGTCCTGGCCTGGCTGGGCACTGGCACCACCATGGCCGGCCTCAACAAATGGATCTTTGCCACCCATGCCTCCCGCTACCCGCTGCTGCTGTCGTCCCTGCACATGCTGTCAGGGGCGGCTGTGGGGTACCCGCTGGGGTGGGCGGGGGGACCCTCACCGCCAGCCCCCTGGCCCCGCGCCAGGATCTCCCTGCTCAGCCTCACCTTCTGCACCAGCGTGGCGTTGGGCAACCTGGGCTTGAGCTACGAGCAGCTGGACGTGGCGCAGGCGGTGGCCACCACCGCCCCGCTGGTCACCCTGCTGCTGTCGGGGCTGCTGGGGGGCCGGCGGCCCCACCCACTGCAGTACGCCGCCATGGGGCCCGTCTGTGCTGGGGCCGCCTGCAGCATCGCCGGCGGGCTCCGCTTCCACCAGCCCGGCTGCGGCTTCCTCCTGGCTGCCACCGTCCTCCGCGCCCTCAAGTCCCTACAGCAGAGTAAGTGCCACCCACCCAGCCCTGTCCTGCCCGCCCACCCCTGGAGCGCCAGGGGTGCTGGTGCTGCCCTGGTGACACCAGGCTGCTGGTGCCACCCCCTGCCCACCCTGGCACCCATGCCGCTCCATTGCCACCCAACCCTCCTGGCAACTCTGGCCCCCACTGCCACCCCAGCCCTGGTGCCATCCCAGTGCCACCCCAATTCCAAGGCCGCTCCATTGCCACCCTGTCCCTGGTATCATTCGTGGCCCACCCTGTCTCTCATGCCAGCCCGGTGCCACCCCTTGCCCACCCTGTCCCTGGTGCTACCCCAGTGCCACCCCTTGCCCATCCTGTCACTGGTGCCACCCTGGTGTCATCCCGGTGCCACACCCTCCCCACCCAGCTGCCCCCCACCCTGGGCTGTGCCATGGTTCTGGCCCTGAGGTGACTCCAGTTTGTTGGTGACAAGCAAACACCTTGGTGGCCCGTGGTGGCCCATGGGTGCTGCTGGCTCTCAGTGTCCCCATCCCATGTCCTGGGGCTGGTGGGGGGGGGGTTGGCAGTGCCTGGCATGGGGACCCCCAGGCTGCTCCATCCCTGCGGGCTCCCTGCTCCAGCCCTGTGGGTGGCCAGGTCCCCGCAAGGCCCAGCACCGAGCGGCATCGTCCCCACGCTGGGCCCTGCTTCCCCCAGGGGCTCCGGCAGCTGCGGTGCCACCCGGGCCGCGATGTCCTTGGCAGGCAGTGGCCGGGTGGTGTTTTGGCTGGGAAGGGAGCATTTCCTCCAGAGCTGGTGACTCAGGCGGGCACCGCAGGGGGACAAGCACATGCCCTGTGCTGTCCCCAAGGTCCCTGGAGGCACTGCCAGTGTCTGTGCCAGTGGTGCTGTGGCCACCCAAGGGATGCCATGGCCCAGCACCCACCCGGGTCCCCTCAGCACCCATGGGACATGGAGAGTGGCCCCGGGGAGGCTGGGGGCTGCTCCCACCCCCCCCAGTGACACAGCTCATCCCCCCGGCTGTGCATGGCAGCCAGCCCAGCTGTGCTTGCTGTCCCTGGATGACTTGGGGGGCACCCGGGGACACAGAGGGGACCGGCCACATGCCCGGAAGCATTGCTGCTGGCTGCAGGATCAGCCAAAACAGGGGGATGGTGTGTGGGGGGATGGAAGCCACGTTTGGTCCAAAACGGGGTGGGGATACTGCCCCATCTGACCCTGCCCGGTGGTACCCTGGACCCCCAAACCAGGGCACCTCCCGAACCAGCACACCCCAACCCCATGGAAGGGGTTGCCCCCCCCATGGCCCCATCTCCCCAACCTGGTGATATTTGGGATTTCTTAACCACTGGGGCACCAAGCAGGGGCTTGCAGGGGTGGGTGCCTGGGGTGGGTGCTGGGTGTCCCCCCGGGGAGGGTCTGAGGGTCCCGCTGATGGTCCCCCACCACCCTCCCCAGGTCTGCTGCTGCAGGAGGCCCGGCTGGATGCCCTCTCCCTGCTCTGCCTGACCTCCCTGCCCAGCTTCTGCCTCCTCTTCGGGGCGGCCGTGGCGCTGGAGCTGGGTCCCTCCTGGGAGGGGGTCCTGCGCTACGACAGCACCCTCTGGGCCTGCGTCCTCCTCAGCTGCCTGGGCTCTGTCCTCTACAACTTGGCTACCTTCTGCGTCCTCTCCCTCACCTCTGCCCTCACCGTCCACGTCCTGGGCAACGTCACTGTGGTGGGCAACCTGCTGCTCTCCCGCCTCCTCTTCGGTAGCCACCTGAGCGGGCTCAGCTACCTGGGCATCGGGCTGACGCTGGCCGGGATGTTCATGTACCACCAGCCGGACCTCATTGCGGCACGCTGGGCAGCACGGCCGGGACGGGGGCCCCCCAGGCGGGAGTAGGGGCCCCGCTGGGGACGGGGGCAGGCAGGGAGGTAGCGGCCAGCATGGATCTGCGGGTGCACAGGCTGCGTGCACGGGGCAGGGGGTGCGGGCGTGCACGGCTCTGCGGGCACACGGCAGGGCTGGTGTGCATGGTATCGTGCACACGGGTGTGCTGGTGTGCACGGCCCTGCATGCACACATGTGTGCCAGGGTGAACCGCCCTGCATGCACATACATGTGCTTGTGTGCACAGCCCTGCATGCACATGTGTGTGCTGGTGTGCACAGCCCTGCGCGCACATGTGTGTGCCAGTGTGCACGGGTCTGCGTGCTCACGTGTGTGCTGGTGTGCACAGCTCTGCAAGCACACACGTGCTGGTGTGCACAGCCATGTGTGCACCTTTGTTTTCTGGTTTGCACAGCTCTGTGTGCACACGTGTGCTGGTGTGCATAGCACTGTGCACATGGATGGGCTGGTGTGCACGGCCCTGTGTGCACAAAGGTGTGCCAGTGTGCATGGCCCTGTGTGCATGTGTTTTCTGGTGTGCACAGATCTGTGTGTCCGTGTGCTGGTTTGCACAGCTCTGTGTGCACACGTGTGCTGGTGTGCATGGCACTGTGCACCTGGATGTGCTGGTGTGCACAAGCTCTTTGTGCATGGCTGCGTTGTGTGCACCCTGCGTGTGCATGTGTCTCGGTGTGCGCAGCTCCGTGCGCACATGTCCACTGATGTGCGTGGTACTGTGCGTATGCGTGTGCCGGTGTGCACAGCTCTGTGTGCACACGTGTGCCCTGGTGTGCACAGGCTCTGTGTGTGCACATGGGTCTGTGTGCACATGGGTGTGCAAGTGTGAGCGGGGCTCTGTGTGTGGCTACGTGTGCATGGGGGCACGAGTGTGTTGGTGTGTGAAGGCTCTGCGTGTGCAAGCCGGTCTCATGCATGTGGGCACATGTGTGTTGGTATAGGCTCTGTACATACGAGTGTGTCTGCGCACACGGCTCTGTGTGCACGTGGGCATGCATGTGCTGGTGTGCACAGGCTCTGCGTGTGCAAGCAGATTTCATGCAGGCAGGCAGGGGTGTGCTGCTGCTGTGCACAGGAGTGTGCAGAGCCTTAGGCGTGGGTATGCATGCGTGCGTTGGTGTGCACAGCCTCTGTGCACGCACGTGTGCTCGTGTGCTGAGATTCTGTGAGTGCGAATGCACCCCTGTGCATGCACGGGGCGCGTGTGCGTGTGCAGGCTGACAGCATGGGGGGTTGTGTGTGTGCACGTGTCTGTGTGTGTGCATGTGTGCATATGTGTGCGTGCACGTGTACGTGCGTTACTACTGAGCTATGCTGGCTGGAGTGAACCTGGGGCTGCACGTGTGCACGATTCTCATGGCCACCAAGACCCCCGGGGACGGGGCAGGTGAGCGTCCCCTCTCTTGTCCCCAGCCCTGCCGTGCTGTGCCGTTCCCGCAAGGCTGCTGGTGCTGCTGCCATGGTCGTCATTGTCCCCACCGCACCCTCCTGGCCACCGCGGCTCCGGCTCCGGTCCCATCCCTCCCAGCTTGCCATGGCGGGAGCAGGCTGGTGTGGGCAGGGCCGCCTGCCTGTCCCCGGGGCTCCCTCGCAGAGGTGGCCAGAGCCCAGCAAAAGGGGATGGGGACGGCACAGACCCCCCTGCCATTGCTCGGGGATGGTGCCGGGCTGTGGCATGGCATGTGCTCACCTTGCCAAAGGGACACCCCAGAGCGCGTCTGCCCTGGCAGCGACGCCGGCACACACCTGCAGGCGTGCCCTGACGGCTGCACCGGCACCACCATCGCACGCAGTGCCCGGGGCGGCTGCTGCTGCACTCACCGGCTCTGCGCCGGGGCCAAAGGACCCAGCTCTGATTGCACTTGTCCCAAAATAAAGCTCTATTTTTGTCGTACTCCACCCTCGGCTCCCCAGGGTCATCTCCCACCTGAATTGCACTCCGGCGTCACGGCAGGGAGGGAGGGAACCACTGGGTGCAGGGATGGGAAACTGAGGCACAGAAACACCTCGGGATGTCCTGGCTGCCCAGGGGAAGCCGGGGCCGCCGTGCCCACCTATGGCCAGTGGCTCCGTGCTCTGGTGCAGGGGCAGCCGTGGTTCACCAGCCGCAGGGCTGGTGCTGGGACCCTTGCACAGGACACAGGCGGGACGTGGTGGCAGTGAGAGGCGTCACCGGCTGCACATTCCCAGTGGAAGGCCAGTCCTGCTGGGAGCCGGCACCAGCCGCCTACAGCCCTGGGGCAGCGTGGTGCTGGGGAGCATCATGTCCCCTGGCGTCACCTGTAGGATCCCTCTCCAGCCCTGGCACTCATGTCACCCCACAAGCACAACCCCTGGGAAGCCCAGGCTCCCGCCCTCTTTCCCAAACAGCAATTTTCTTCCACCCATCTGGGTGGTGAATTTTCAAGCCACTTCCAGGAGCATCCCGGGCATGGCTCCTACCCCAGCACTCGGTGAAGGAAGGGAGCTCAGGCCGCTACAGTGTGCCGGGGTCCCCACCGCCGGTGCCACCTCGGCCGGGCACTGTGGCTGGAGCAGTCCCCGTCCCGCAAAGGACTCAAAGGGCCCTGAGTTATTGGCCCATGGCCCCTGCTCTGGCCAAGAGCGTGGCAGCCCCCAGCCTATTCGCTTTCTGGGCTTGCCTTTCAGAGGCTTTTCTGTAACAGGGAAGGGTTGAAAGTCGCTTTGGTTTCCCGGTTTCTTAAAAAAAGGTGAGTCCCAGTGCG